ATTGCAGATCTAAGGACCAACACTGGCTTACTCTCTAAGGAAGCAGAACTGATCTTGCAGTGGATACCAGCCCACTGTGGTATTCAAGGAAATGAGAGAGCAGATGAGTTGGCAAAAGCTGGGAGTAATCTTCCATAACCTCATCCACCACACAGCTACAAAGAAACCAAAACAGCGCTAAAGCAGTCTTTCAAGCGGGAGTGGAGAAGGCAGAATGGAGATAACAGACCAGAGAGTGACAGCATAAACAAACTCAGCAGGAAATAACAAACAACAATTTTTAGACTTCGTACTGGACACTGTGGTCTTCGAGCACACCTGTACAGGATAGGCATAAAAGAATCTGCTGTCTGTGATTGTGGAGCAGAACGACAGACCCCTGGGCACATACTACCTTAACCTCTCCCAGCAAAGACTGTGGATCTGGCCCAAGGGAGCCACATTGAAAGAGAAGCTATAGGGGACCGGTGGCGACCTCAAACGAACAATCTTATTTTTGACCCAGACGGGACTCAATGTCTAGCATGACTGATGTCGAACGCTGAAGAAGAAGAAAGGTGCTTTAGTGACGAATATACTATCAAAAATAGGTGTTGTACTGACAATATACTCACAATGTTAGCTACTGTACTGAGAATATACTCAAAATGTTAGGTGTTGTACTGATAATGCACTCCCAATGTTAGATGCTGTACTGACAATGTACTCACAATTTTAGGTGCTGTACTGACAATATACTCCCAATGTTAGCTGCTGTACTGATAATATATTCACAATATTTGGTGCTGTACTGACAATATACTCCCAATGTTAGGTGATGTACTGACAATATACTCGCAATATTAGGTGCTGTACTGACAATATACTCCCAATGTTAGGTGCTGTACTGACAATATACTCCCAATGTTATGTGTTGTACTGACAATATGCTCCCAATGTTAGGTGCTGCACTGAAAATATATTTGTACTGATAATACACTCCCAATGTGAGCTGCTGTACTGACAATATACTCTCAATTTTAGGTCACCTACTGACAATATACTCTTAATTTTAGTTGCTTTACTGACAATATGCTCTCAATTTTAGGTCCTCTACTGACAATATACTTACAATGTTGGACGCTGAACTGATAATATACTTCCAATGTTAAGTGCTGTACATACAAAACACTTACAATGTTAGCTGCTGTACTGACATTATATTTACAATGTAAGATGCTGTACTGACAACATACTCTCAATTTTAGGTGCTGTCTTGACAAAAATACTTGCAATGTAAGATGCTGTACTGACAATATTATCATAATGTTAGCTGCTGTACTGACAATATACTCCCAATTTTAGGTTATGTACTGACAACATACTCACAATGTTAAGTGCTGTACTGACAATATACACCCAATTTTAGGTTATGTACTGACAATATACTCCCAATTTTAGGTTATGTACTGACAATATACTCCCAATTTTAGGTTATGTACTGACAACATACTCACAATGTTAGGTGCTGTACTGACAATTTAATGATCTAAAGTCAGTCAGTCATACCTTTGTAACATCGGAGAATGTATGGCCACAACTTAGATAATTCGTATTTCACACGAATCCTGCCAGTCAGCCGCTCAACCTTCATGGTTCACGTGAATTCTTCCGGGCAATCATGTTTCCTTGGCCATAAACAAACCTTTCTTCTTTTATAGATGTCTCTCATGAAACTCAAGACCCCACCGTAAATCTCGTGTTATCTCAGTCAGTCAAAACATACGCCTTACATTTATTACTGACGTCATCTATCGGCCATGAATTAATGGGGGCATAAGAAAATGACTCACTACATTCTCCCCCACCCCAAAAAAATGTTTTACATTTTCAATCAATCAGGTGTGAACATTTCACTGAACATGGTGATTCTAGACCTTTGTAGTGAATCATTTTCGACAAGTTCATTTCCAACCAAGTTCCCTTTACCTCATTAGGTTAACAATTCAAACACTCTAAAATGCCATCTGTTGGGTCTTTGCACGACTGTGAATACCTTAATGGGATCCTCACCCCAGGCACTCCCCTTTTAGTGCGGAAGACCAATAATCTGGCTCCATAGGTATCCCCACCCAGTTCTAAAGTCGGTATACAACCGAACCCCTCTCCTGGCACCCCCCGATCGGTGCGGAAGTCCAAAATCTTGGCTCTAAAACCGAAGTGTGACCCCATGAAGTCCCACCCTCGCTATTCCCATTCATGAAAGCCCCCCACAATGGCTAAATCAGCAATGTATGGTTTTGTTCCCAAATATGTAAGGTACAAGATGTAGTTTATTACCTTGTCTTCAGAAACTACAACATGTCTCATTAACACACATATTCAAATTAAATGCTACACCAATTCAATTTAGTATACTAGTAAATGTAACATTTTCTGGTGAGGTGTATTTTAACCCTGAATGTTGTCTCCCTTTAATTCTAATTGTTTACTATATTATACCCGTTCAAATCGAAACATACATTTTTCCCAGTTGTAAATTCATATAATACATTCATACAATAATACAATGCATACCCTTGCATAAAATGATTTCAGTTAATACAAGTTGTAATAGCAGTTGCAACATATTCTACAAACGTGACATGATATCTGGTAAATGATTGTCTGTTCCTTTGATGTGTTCAATGTTAAATTTGAATTGCGATATCAACAATGCCCATCTATATACCCTTGGATTGCTATTGGCATCAATTGTTAATAATTTTGTCAACCCCAAGTTATCTGTTAAAATAGTGAATTCTTTTCCCAAAAGAAACTTCTGAAACTTTTTTAGACTAATAACTAGTGCCAACGCTTCTCGTTCAAATGTATTGTATTTTTGTTGAGTTTGGTTAAGTTTCTGTGACATATACATTACTGGGAGTAATGTTTGTGAATGTTTCTGCGCAAGCATACTAGCTATTGTGTGACCGCTGGCATCTGATTGTAGAAAAAATCTTTTGGATGGGTCAGGTTGTCTCAAAATAGGATATTTTGAAAAACAGTTTTTTTATTTTAACTAGAATTTCCTCATGTGTTTCATTCCAATCTGATTTTTTCAATTGTTGATTCTTTAATAACTCTGATAGTGGTGATGTTAGTGCTGCTAAGTTTGGGATGAATTTACCATAATAGTTTATTAACCCTAGTAGAGATTGGAGCTGCTTTTTAGTTTTAGGTTTTTGGATCTTCAAAATTTCGAAACAATGTTTTCATCTGTCTGGACTAAACCTTCGCATATAACATGTCCTAGGTAATCAATTTTGGTGTATGCAATTTCAGTTTTTAATGGATTTACTGTCAATTTCGCGTCATTTATTCTTGATAGGACTTTTTGTAGGGTAGTGCAGTGATCGTGCAATGTTTTGGTGTGTATACAGATGTCATCCATGTATGCTGTGACGTGAGGAATTGCATATAACAGTTTCCTAACCATTTTTGTGAAAATTTTCGGAGCGTTTATTAAACCAAATGGTAAACGCAACCATTGTTTGAGTCCAATTGGAGTTTGAAAGCTAGTATATTTTACAGCTTCTGGTGTTAGTGGTATTTGCCAGTAGCCTTTTGAAAGGTCAATTTTTGTAAAGAATTTTGAGTTGTATAATTCTTGTATGATTTCATCTGACGAAGGGATGGGCTCAGTTTCTAAATAGGTAATTTGGTTTAGTTATGTTAGTTTTCCCAGGTTTATTCGTGAAAATATCTTTGTAATGAAAAATTATGCTCCACAATTTTGCTTTTTCATTTTCTGATAGTTCTTCATTTAACTTTATCGATTTCCAGTTGACTTCATTCTTTGTTGATGGTGTTGGAATATCTTCTTCTATAACATCAGGTAAATCTTCATTAATTACATTACATAAATTTGCATCAAGTACATCATCATCTGACATCAATAATGATCTTCTAAAATATGGTTTAAGCATGTTTACATGAAAAATTTTGAGCTTTTCATCAATTTTGATTTCATAATCAACATCAGAAATCTTTCTTGTAACAACAAAAGGACCTGACCATTCTATACATAACTTGTCTGACTTCTTTGGTAACAGTAATAACACTTCATCACCAGGGTTATATTTCACAAGTCTTGCTATTCTATTCGCATACTGTCGCTGTTTTAGACTGGCTTCTTTCATCGTTTCGTTTGCTTGTTGACAAGCAATCATTATTTTATTTCTCAGATCTGTTACTGATTCATAAGCTGATTTTTCTGTATCCGTTTCTGTTTTTCCTGTGATAAGCTTATATAGTTGCAATGGTCCTCGAGGATTTGCCCCATATACAAGTTCAAATGGCGAAAAACCCTTTGAGCTATGAGGAATTTCTCTATATGCAAACATAATGGCAGGTAATAAAGTATCCCAAGACTGCGGATGTTCAAATGATATTCTGGCACTCGAGGCGGACGCCATGCCTCGAGACCACTCAGCCCTCCTCCCTCCCCCCACCCTCCCCCGTTTCAGTAGACTTGGCGTGATTAGTTGAGAAAACTCCCTTCTCCTACACATGTTTGCAGCTTTTGGTTGCAGCATTTCTATGCTGGAATACAAATTGTTGAATGCTAAACGTAGGATGTGACGTGATGGTGAATGATATAACAAGTCTGTGTTGTAGATATTTTCAAAGTGATCCATTTGTGGGATGCAATCTTTCATTATTTTGAAGCTGTTGCCGGGTGCCCTAATACAACCTAACGGTAGAACAGAGTTTTCGGGTCCTCTCCATTTGTGATCTTCATCTAAATCGTGGTACATGGTGTCATCTGGTGTTTGTCGTTTTGTGTGATGTCCTTGTAGGGTATAACTTTCTACTACTATATAGCAAGCTATTTACAGGTGTGATAAGACTCTCAGTCAGACCAAAACATCTAATGCACTGGTTTAGTCACATAATTTGTGATTTTGAATAAAGTATTTGTCCATCTCCTTAAATGTGCTTATGTGGCCATCATTCTCTTTCAGTTATGTACATTGAACATGACTACAACCCCGTGTACGGATGTACACCGAAAATATTGTTCGTGTTATCCGGAACAAGGACGGACGAGAATTGCTGCAATGATACCACTAGAAACACAATATAGCAAGGGAGTGATAACAGCTTACTGGGCGCACAGACGTAATTTGTTACCCAGACTTGTATCGACAAACTACACTTATCCAGAGGTATACGGTAAGTAAACATATTTCATTTTTTTTCCCATTCCATATTCTTCTGTTGAAGTTTCTGTTTCTATATTTCTCCACCTCTTTAGTTCTTTCTTTTGTTTAAAAAACAAATAGAAAAACCACTCCAACTGCATTTGTAGCAGTAAGTAAGCAAAGTAAAGATCCTTTTTCACGACTTTAGGCGCAGCGGGCATATGGGAAGAGCACCCATATTTTAACAGACAAATCGGCACTAGGTGGGTAATGTGGTCAGAATTACGCCGGCCGTTTACTTCCCCAGGTTATACATCCTGATTCCCATTTAAGGCTGGGTGGACCTGCGACGCCCCATATCATGATAAAAATCTACGCAGCCAGCAGTGGGTTTCTATCGCGGTACGTTAAAATTACGAATCGGACTCGCAACGCCTAAGCTACGCGTGCATGTGTGTCTTTGTGTGTGTGTGTCTGTCTGTGTATATTTCTCTGTGTGTGTGTGTGCATGTGTATATCTTTATGTATGCATGTGTGAAATCTGGGCTTTTGTGTGTGTGTATGTATATATGTGGTGTGTGTGTGAATGTATGGGGGTGCATGCGTGTTTAAGTGAGTGGGTGGGCGCGTGTGGGTATGTGTGGGTATATGTGTGCCTGCGCTGGTGTGTGCAGGCATGTCACCACCCATGTTTTAATTTTCATTTTTACAATATGCATATTTTTTATGTGAAAATAACATGCTTTATTAATGACATCCAACTGCTTTGTGAAAGACGGGTCTCTGAAAGGGCCAAATGTAAGATGGGCCTGCGTGCCCAATTTGTGACCCTTTGAAAATAAAGTTCGTTCGTTCGGTTTTTTGTTTGTTTTTGTTTTGTTCAGTTGAACATAAATGAAAACACATTTTTTTCTGTAACATATAAATGTTCACTCCTCTTATTTACAATGGTTCGAAAAGATAAAAGGAACTAGCTGGTATTCAGCATCCTTGGCATCTATTGACTAAAGAATAACAATATTTTTGCGTCAGTGAAATTCTGAGGCTGCATGCAAAAGTTCATTGAGATCTAAAATGGCTTGCAAGTGTGTTCATGAGATGTTGAACGCACTAAAACGTTTACTTGACGTTTGAAACGTAAACTAATACACACATTCAATTACGCTGCGCAAATAATTTATTTCAAAAGGTTTACAGTCGTTACACACACACACACTATAAATATATGTATAGTGAAAGAAACCTGGACAGCGATTAACTCACACACACACAAAAACTAGAGACTAATTTCCGGCAAGAGCATGTGATGCTTAAGACATGGTTGTGTATATCAGCTGGCACTTAAAGGGTCATGGAATCAATGATGGCAGTCGTCTTTAGGTCCCACACAAATGCTGTTGGTACAATTATGTGACAAGGACATGCTAATCACTGACTGATGAAACCTAGGTGTTAAATGTGAATGATTATTAGCATTTAAATGTGTACACCTATGTTGCAGACAATGTTAAAAACGGTGAATCCAGAATAGACGTTTTATTTCACCGACATGTCACAACGGTTCATTTAACTGTTGTATCTAAAGTGTGTTTTCTTCATTATTAGGTATGTAATTATTTAAACAACTACAACAATTAGCAGACTGTCAACAATAGACAATAAAGCAGAATTTATAATAATAATAATAATTATTATTATTATTATTATTATTATAATTTTGAACATTGTTGATATCTTCTGTCAAACAATGCGATCTTGAATTGAAGCTGTCTTCCTGAACCACAATTTTCTTTAAGAGAATTCATATATCCATCATGTTCATAAATGAAAGTTTGAAAGTAGATTTGCATTTTACCACAGTACATCATGACGGTTACATCTCACTTTAGATAGTTACTCTCTATTTTTCTGAATGTCAGTCTGTTTGTCCAAATCGTGTGGTAATCTAAACAAGCACAGGCTGTAATAACTTTAAAACAAAAAAGTGGGGAAGGCGGTGTGTTGAGGAGAGAGAAATATTTATCAACAGTAACTTTCATAACAGAAATGTGAGGGAGAGGGTGTGTTAAGGAGAGAGAAATATTTATCAACAGTAACTTTCATAATATAAATATGAGGGAGGCGGTGTGTTAAGGAGAGAGAAATATTTATCAACAGTAACTTTAATAACAGAAAAGTGAGGGACGTTGTGTGTTGAGAAGAGAGAAATATTTATCAACAGTAACTTTCATAACATAAATGTGAGGGAGGCGGTGTGTTAAGGAGAGAGAAATATTTATCAACAGTAACTTTAATAACAGAAAAGTGAGGGACGTTGTGTGTTGAGAAGAGAGAAATATTTATCAACAGTAACTTTTAAAACAGAAAAGTGAGGTAGGGTGTGTGGTGAGGAGAGAGAAATATTTATCAATAGTAACTTTCATAACAGAAATGTGAGGGAGGGGGTGTGTTGAGGAGAGAGAAATATTTATCAACAGTAACTTTTATAACAGAAAAGTCAGGGAGAGAATATGTTAAGGAGAGATAAATATTTATCAACAGTAACTTTTAAAACAGAAAAGTGAGGGAAAGAATATGTTGAGAAGAGAGAAATATTTATCAACAGTAACTTTTATAACAGAAAAGTGAGGGAGGGTGTGTGTTGAGGAGAGATAAATATTTATCAACAGTAACTTTAATAACAGAAAAGTTAGGGAGGGGGTGTGTGGTGAGGAAAGAGAAATATTTATCAACAGTAACTTTTATAACAGAAAAGTGAGGGAGAGAATATGTTGAGTAGAGAGAAATATTTATCAACAGTAACTTTTAAAACAGAAAAGTGAGGGAGGGTGTGTGTTAAGGAGAGATAAATATTTATCAATAGTAACTTTTAAAACATAAAAGTCAAGGAGGGAATATGTTGAGGAGAGAGAAATATTTATAAACAGTAACTTTAATAACAGAAAAGTGAGGGAGAGAATTTGTTGAGGAGAGATAAATATTTATCAATAGTAACTTTTAAAACATAAAAGTCAAGGAGGGAATATGTTGAGGAGAGAGAAATATTTATAAACAGTAACTTTAATAACAGAAAAGTGAGGGAGAGAATTTGTTGAGGAGAGATAAATATTTATCAACAGTAACTTTTATAACAGAAAAGCTTTTTTTTTTCTGTAAATATTTTAACCCATTTTCATCTAAGCTGACTTTGAGGGTGCTCCCAACTGTATCATGGCTGTCGCATAACAGCATCAACTTCCCTACCACAATAGACTGGCCCACAGTTAGACACCCCCATATTATTTGGTGTATATATTATTTCAGATAGTCCGTCCGTAGATGTATAGTTCGTTTGTTGTTGGGGAGTCCAGCTGTGAGAAACCTAAATATATCGATCATGGATTGATCCTTCTTGTCGTATGATGTCAATATGAATGTTAGGACACATTTTCTGCGTCTGTTAAAGCTTAATAGTTTGACCTCTTCACTTCGTCCTTGCGCGTATCCTCGCCCCAACTGTCGGTGATAGGGACTAGAATTGGATACGTCACTTCATCTTACAGCTCTGTGGCCACTTGACCTTTAATGAAGCATCTTTGCTCCTTTTATTCGTTTGCATGGGTGAGATTTCCTAAAAGGATGTATATATATATATATATATATATATATATATATATATATATATATATATATATATATATATATATATATATATATATGTGTGTGTGTGTGTGTGTGTGTGTGTGTGTGTGTGTGTGTATGTGTGTGTGTGTGTGTGTGTGTGTGTGTGTGTGTGTGTGTGGGCTCAGTGCCTGAATGTGTTTGCGAGAAAAGGTATGCAGAATGATAATGCGAATCTATTTGTCTACGAAAGCCTGCGAACGAGAGACGTTAGCGATGCTTGTGTGAACGCACTTTCGGCTGAAATATCTTCGTGAATTCTTGTAGCCTGTGTTCTAAATCTATTCGGATCAATCAATCCACCTGTCTGGAGTGTAATTAATGTTTTGATAAACCATTGTGGAAGAACAAAGGAAGCAAACTAGAATGCGGTCAATATCGAGGCATCTCTCTTTTAAGCGATGTTGGCAAAATGTATGCCAAGATAATAGAAACAAGACTAAGACCAGTGATAGAACCACAGCTGGCGGAAGAACAGATGGGATTTAGGAGAAATAGAAGCTGCACAGATGCAATCTTCACACTTAAACAGTTAATAGAAAAGAACATTGAATACAATAGGAACTTATTTGTGGCATTCGTAGACCAGGAGAAGGCATTTGACAGAGTAGACAGACAATTATTATGGAAAGTAATGGCAAGATATGGAGTAAGCGAACACTTCATCGAAGTGTGCAAAAGTTTATACAGGGATTGTAAAAGTGTAGTTAGAATAAATCAGGGAACATCTCATCCATTCACAGTGACATCTGGAGTAAGACAGGGGTGTGTCTTATCACCACTGCTGTTTATCACCTACATCGACAGTATATGCAAGAATGCCAAGCCCATGAATGAAGATCTTAGTAAGATCAACGAATTACTCTTTGCAGATGACCAGGCCTTGATAGCAGATACAGTCATGAAATTGCAACAACATCTAACATCCATGAATGAAGAATGTAAAACAAATAATATGAGAATCAACACTGAAAAGACAGAAGTAATGTCAATAGGAAGAAAGAAGACAGATCTAAACATAGCAATAGAATACAAAGGCATTAAACAGGCATCTGAGTTTAAATATCTGGGAACTACATTTACCGAAGATGGGAAATTGGATAAAGAAATTGACATTAGATGCAGTAAAGCGAACCAAGTATTGGGACAGCTAGCCCCCCTCTTACAGCATAAGACAATCCCAATAAGCACAAAGAGGCATCTTATTCAAAGCATATGTATTCCAGCTCTGTGCTATCAGTGCCAGACATGGTCACTCAGAACAAACCATAAAAGAAAATTAGTAACCACGGAAATGAGATGTCTGAGAAGGGCTGTAGGAGTCACCATAAGAGATAAGATCAGGAATGAGATCATAAGAGAACAAGTCGGCACAGAACCAATTCTGGATTACATACAAAGACAGCAAGTGAAATGGTTTGCCCACTTGGAGAGAATGCCTTGTGACACCATACCATACAAAGCATACATGGAAAGAGAAGAAGGACGTAGAGCACGGGGTAGACCAAGAACAAGATGGAAGGATAACATCAGAGAAACTCTACAACAGCACGATGTGCCTATGGTCGAGGCAGCCAGAAGAGCTAGAAACAGAACCTTATATCTCCCTCGACACCCACAGCGGTAAAAAAGGAAATGAAGAAGAAGAAGAAGATAAACTTGTATGTTCTGATATATTCTTTTAATTGGTCTCTGAACTTGATGTGTAGGTTAACCGTTGAAAAACGGGCGGCGCTATTCTAGGAAAGCATGACGTCTCATCTGCCGTTGCTAGGAGTGACCGTAACCACAACAAGCTTAGCCTTTGGAATAGCTTTTGGGAGCTATTCTTCGATCTTGTCCTTTAGATTCATTTCATCTACTTTATTTTTCCAACTGGTGAAATGGGAATTTATGGAGGAATGGGGACTGTTGGAGATCTGACTGGCTTTCGTAACCAAACAGGTTTCAGAAACTGTTAGAGTTAATAGAAACGTCGGACTAGCTCTTGTGCTCACTCTGAGGAACTGTATGGGCTCCCGAGATATATAAAGTCAACCTCCATGGTATAGACTAGCCCACATTTACCTCTGAGCTTGTGGAGAGCGTGAGGAGTGTGATTAGCAGGGTACATTAGGTGAGGTTTGCTCATGTGTGTTGCCTTGTTGATGACAGGATATTAAAGATCCAGCATGTGTCCGTGTGGTAGTCCAGTTCTCCAGCTAACCATCAACTGGGAAGAAACCGACTTGTGTTGACGTGCCACTGTCTGCTATACCCAGCTGTTCGTGAAGTCTGCGTCAACCAGTCTCCGGGAAGTCTTGGTCGTCTATCGATCAGTCCCTGGAGATAATCATCGTCGTGGAGAGACACTCTGAGAAACGAGACGTTGCAGAATCCCACTATCCGGCACCTTTAGGAGCTGCAGGATCTGGTGCAGATAAGTGGTTAAGCTAAGGAACACTTGGGCAGCCCGATTCTGGATGTGCCCTTGTAATCTGTCTCTACTCTCCAAGCGATGATGACGCTGGAAACGGCTACGGCACCATAGGGAGACTCTTTCTCTGGTCTCAATTCTTCGAAGACTTGAACCATCATTCTGGTTCTTTGTGCTACATTTCTTATTCATTTGTTACAGTGCATTTATTACATTGAGTTTCTAGTTCACAAGACTTCTTGTTCTTGGAAAAGTGTTGTCTTAATGGAATCAATTGTCATAGTCAGAAGTGTATTCATGTCTTCTTAGACTTATCGTTGTTTATAGAATTGACGGTGTTTATGTGTTTACCAGTCTGGGGGCAAAATTAGTAATGAGAATGTCTGGCCGAGTGGTACCCAAGAGTTTGTATTAACCCTGTGGAGTCAGAGCTCGAGTTACCTCATTCCTGAGGTAGGCTAAATGGATGTTTGAACCGAGGGCTAGGCCTCTAGACAAACGAGAGCCACCATTCAGATCACGCCTATCTCAGAGCACCTGAGGATTTTGGGAAAATAATCCGGAAGTAAAGGTGCGTGACGAAACTGCCATACGGCAATGGCTGCCGGTAGTTATCAGCTTATGCCAGTTTAAACCCATTTGCAACATAGCAGCGTGGCGTGACGGCCAATGACACTGGTTCAATAAATAAGTCAGATTATATTTAAATTAACGTGTCCTCATCATCTAAACTGAACATCACATTGCCCTCAATTCATCGACAGCCTTATTTTGCGTTTTCAGATCCCGGTGCTGCCAGTTTGACTGCAACTATTAATGGTGGGGCTGGAGGAGCACAGTCGAGACTGTGTTCATTTGATATGACTCTGTACAGATCACAGATCCTGAAAGTGTGTTGTCACAGCGACCTTATGCCCTGCTATGTTAAGATTGAAATCAATGGTCAGGAGATTGCTAGGGATGTGTCGCCGTGCTACTCCTACTCCTCAAATACGGATATTACAGGAGTCGTGACAGTATCATACTCTGTCTGTGTAAATACTGAATATGACAGCAGTAACAAATGTTCGCTACCAGACGGTAAATACTGTTACATTATTCAGTCTGTCTGCAGGTTTCTCCTGTTTTGTGTTTGTGTGTGTGTGGAGGGGGCAAAAGGAGGGGGGGGGGTTGTGTGTGTTTGTGTGTGAGGGGGGGGGGGGGTGCGTGTGTGTTCGTGTGTACAATGTTACGTGTTCAAATGCGATAAAACTTTAACAGAGGCAATTATCATAATCTCTATAGGATAATAATAAGAAGAACACAGTTGGCGGGTCCCTCTATCGACAATTGTTTAGGCCGGTTATCCTCTTAGACAAACTTGGGAGGGAGGGGGGGGGGGGCGCTGGGTATTGACTCCTAGACTTCGGACTTGTGCAGCGCTTATCGGATATTGGGACCAGACGTACTGGTGGTTTGCAACCGGTACTAAGCTTATGGTGTTATGTATATCGTCGCATCGGTAGCAAATTAGGCGCCTACCTTCACGACCAGAGTAACAAGCCTTGGTGCTTTAGTACATTGAATGTGGAGATTAGAGCTATTGTGTTACCTCGACGGCGAAGAGTTTTACCCTCGTCGCTCCTCAGACTGGCCAGTAGCTGGCTATTTTTTCGTGTTTATGTGGGTGGTTCTCTTTGATCCACGACTTAACAATAAACACAAAACTTACTGGCTGCATTTCGACGTCATCGAAATTTGTACTGACCCTTCGGTCCCTCTCGTCTTGGTGTAGCGGATAAACGCCCGCCGGCTGATTAGAAAGTCGTGGGTTTGAGAACGAACAGAACTGCACTTTAAAAAAAAATTACTTTGGCTCACATTTTGACCCAACCTTGAGTGGGTACCAGGTAAAGTAGGGGAAAGTAAATGCGACCGACGTGATGTTGTCCACATTACCTACCAAGTTTCGATTTTTCTATACTGCCCAGTTGGATTACAAGAATGGAAACCTGTCTTTTTCGGTGTCTACGCTATGTTAGTTTACATAATTAATGCACATAAACACCAAAAGGACCAATCAGAGGCATAAGCAAATTCTTGTTTTACGTTTTGCAGATTCCGATTGTTTTTGTGCCTACTGACTATTGGTTGCGTAGTACAACTCTCTTGTGAAAGCTAATGTCACACCCAGGTTCGTCTTTTGGTTTGCTACAGGAGGAGTCAATTGAAAGATTATAGACAAGGAGAAAGATGGTCAAGACGATAGTGGTGGTGATGATAGTCTGTTATGCTGCTGCATGCTTTTTACGTTACGTTGATGCTTATCTAAAAAAAACTGTCTTGAAACAACTCTTCTTTTCTGTGCTGTCTTTATAGTCTTACCATAGTAATGTCACAACATAACATCAGTTATATTCTCAATAGCCGCTGTTTTAGCCCTATGGTTACATGCTCTTGAGGTCGCGATATGTTCTTTGTCTCGAGTTACTTTGTTACCTGATTCTTATATCTGTAACTGGCGCATGACTGTCTGGTACTAATGGTTTGATTAGCCGACACTAACATCTTAGGAGTATTTCTATATAATGTGTCTATGTTGAACATTGATCCATGTATGTTAACTGTTGTTTCTGTAGTTTGAGGTTACGTTTCCTGTCTCCTCTCTAGTGTCTGTTTTTGGGGCACCCATGTAACTTATTCCTCTGTTTCTAATATTGAGCTGACGTATGCAACAAATGAAGGTTCTTGTCTGTGAGGGTCCATGTGGCTAGTTCCTCGTCCTGTGAGTCTCGACGACTCAAGAATACTCAAGAGGTTTCTCAACCACTATTTATACACGAAGGTAACATGTGTGAAATGCGTTTTCTACTCTTTTAGAAATTTCTTGTGTGCTCGAACAAATTTACTATCTATGCTCTCCACATGGGATGTTCTAATCGCGTCTCGATTGAAACAGATAGCTCTATACCTGAATATACTAATTTAATTGACAGCTGCCCTTCTAGAAGTCTTCCAGAACTTCAAAAAAAGGGAGTGCCTCAGTGCTCTCTTTCTTTGATAGGGCACGTTAACAATATTACATCAGATAAGATACTATTCATATAACTAGGCTATTCATTTGCAAAATATCTCTCTGCTAATGAACACGTGATTGTTCCAAAAAGGGAATGTCAAAGCTGCTAAGACTCACTGACTCTCAGTCCATGCGCAATATCCTATCTCCTGACAAACAAGCGATGACATCTCCCTAATACAAATATTTTCCTTCTTACAAAAATATTCACGCAAATGGGAACATTTATGCCAATAATTAGACTATATTCAGCTGCCCTTTTACACTCTTCACAAGCAATGTACAATTACACATCAACATAGTTCGATTTTACATCAACATCTTACAACATCACACGGCTAGACGCATTGGCATTGCATTTCTAAAGTAACAATCCTTGTTATATAAAAATCCTCAAAAATCGTTAGTGTCATGAACAACATTTTCGACATACATCTTCGTATTATTCAACGTGTGCATCGATACTCAATTCCTCTTTACTTCGAAATGGTAAAACAAAAATGTATACCCTGCAACTAAATTGTGTATCGTTGCATACACTTGCGCAAAAATGATTTCATCAAATACAAGTACAAAAATAACCCATCTTTCAGAGACTAAAACCAATGATATTTTATCTAACATGTATTAGTCCGTATCTCAGTCTATATGAATGGCGTCTTTGCTGTTACAACCAGTAGCCTTACAATGGAAACTATGGCTGTAACAAGGGCTTTAGCATGGCTTGGTACTCAAAAGTTCACACACGTATGCATTCTCAGTGACTCGATTAAAATGCTTAAGACAATCCAAGCTGGATTTATCAGGCAACTAAGCACTTCACAAATATCTGCCATAACCTTCATCTTTGTGTCAGGTTATGCGGGTGTTTAAGCAACGACCGTGCAGACTATCTTGCTGATACTGCAGTTGCTATGGCTGGCCCAGTACTGGACAGAAGTGATGTTATCAGTGCCATGCGCTGCACTTACTGTACTGAGGAGCACGCAAGAGAACATGACTCCATATCCCTGTCTAGACTGATGGACATGGGAGTGCAGCTTGGAGCTGCAGGAAATGAACATTTCACTAAGTGGACAAGACGTTTCACTAACCAACACAGAACAGGCGTCATCAGTCATTTTACACTTGGGTAGCTTTTGAGGAGGAGATCGGAGCACCTATGGATCTGTCCGGAGTGCTGTGATGATAATCCTTTCTAATCACTAATCACTCTTTATATATATCTCTGTCTCTCTTGTTTCGACGCCCATGACTGTAACATAAAGTTCTCTAAGTGTTTCCTATTGCCATCTGCATAGGTGTTCAGACATGTGTTTATATTACTTGTAAATCTTGAGAGATACTTATTTAACTTCTAAGACTGGACCTTTTAATGTGCCACGTTTCTCCCTCTCCAACGTGGACACGCCATTCTATCCCAAGGCTATTCTCGTTAACTCAGAAATGCACACTATGAAGTCTAGCTGTATCCAGAAATTAACTCTTACATTTACAAACAACATTAATATGCATTTGAGCAACGTCATTATTCATGGAAGCAGTAAAGTAAAATTGTAAAACATGATCAAAATGGAAAGATCCTGTACGCATTTACACTGTATACTCAGTGTATTATGGCACCTCTCGTCTTTATCTGTTGGGTATTTTGCTTTATTATTGATTGTACGCACGTCCCTTCATGCGTTTTCCATGCCTTTGGTTACTTCTCTGTCGTATCAGCTGGCTATACACCGTTTCGCTTTTATATGATATCTGTCGTTTCTAGATTCGACTACAGACCGATCATATCATCGCCTCAGTTTTAACAGTACTGTAGTATTCTTGTCCTTATCACATTGAGCTGCTCCAGCCGAAAAACACCCAGTATCTTCTTACTGGTCTCCCTCTCTTACTTCATTAGTCTGTTTCAGATGCTACTACAATCTTGAATCTAAGTGCTCATGGGATTCCAAACTCCATAAGACACCCATACTCATACTCTCACAACGTTATTAATTAAAAATGAATGTCTCGAAAACGTCTCTGGCAATTAGGACGACTTTTTCTTTTCTGAGTCACCTATTCATTTGCCCATAGGTTCATCACACCAGACAGACCTTGTCGTTAGCGCGTTGTGTTTTAAGTAACGGCATAGTGGTGTAGTGTTTCGGCCTCATTTGGTCGCTTTTTGTTTTTCAAAGGTCCCTATTTAACAAATTTACACTTACTAACTCACAAATTGCCCAGATTTGTACGAAGCATCTTTGTATGTGTGTTCATCATATCACTGGTTGCTCTTACCAAGTGCGACTTGAACTCACAGTAGGCTGGACCTTTATATAGCCACGTTTGTCCATCTTTAACCTGGACTCGCATCTGTCTCTGTAAACTTGAAAAAAAAATCATTTTCCGCTTTATGTATGACCACTCAAATACAAAAATTATACATGAAATGTTAACATGCCTATTTACATTGTTATTTACGTCATATAATTAAAACTTCATCTAGACGGTCACTCTTCTGCCCGTTTCTGAGCTTATAATGTATTCGACCTAGCGGCGCAATTCCGGCCCATCTGGCTTGAATCCGCATAACGTTGCGGTCTTCTAGGTTCTATATATTTTTAAACTCCATTATTACTTCGGCCTAGTCAGCTTTTCAAGTGACATAAGTTTCATTACCCAACTTCTGTTTAATCTTCTTCTTCTTCATCTCTGTCGCCACATCTGTCACCTCATAATAGTGTCTTTCCTAAATTAGTTAAATCATCGCCAATTAACATTTTACTAATGATATGAAAATGCTTATTTACGAGAAAGCAAAAGTCTTGTAATAAAATAAGTAATAACTCAAATTCCTGTTCTATCAGTTCTCCTTCTTCTGCTTCTTTTCTTTTTCTTCTTCTTCTTCTTCTTCTTCTTCTTCTTCATCGGCTTTTTTAAAAAAGTATTTACGTGAACACAACTCATTTAAATCATTTACCTCCTGTGTCTTCGCGACAACAATTAAATTTTTTTTATATCACAATCGCAATCAAACTTA